GCACAATCAGCATTGTTGGAAGAGTCATTTGGGTAGTCATGGACCTCCCTCTCCCTACGTCCCAGCTGGACATTGACGTGGACTTGGGCTTCGCTCTCTTTTTCTTCCTGCTGCTGTGTTTGTTCCTGCTGGTTACGATGGTGCGCTGTGCCCAGATGGTGCTGGACCCCTACAGTGCAATCTCAGTCTCCACCTACCAGGAGGAACAGGTGGAGGGATGAACACAAGGCCCCACCAATCAACTGCAAGTTAGCTCCAAAAGCAGAAGCTGCAGAGGTCAAACATCTGGCACTTTGGATTGGTAACTTTAATGGCTAAAGACCCTGATTTGTGCCCAACGTTGATAAGCTAAGAATATGGAGAGAGAACGCCCATTGAAATGTGCAGTTCATGGAGGCGATAATCATCTGAATTGTCAGTAACATCTGAACTTGACCTGTGAAAACTCCTTTTTGGTGGAATTAAAATAAACTGAGATACTGTTAGTAATTTGCAAGAACCAAAGCAACTATTACAAGCTGTAAGCTGGGGAGAAAATGCTGTCAACACTTGTAAGTTTTACTTGAAAATAAACAAATACATTCAGAATGTATGGATTGCATTGTCTTAGCATGTCAGCAGTATTTAATGTGCATTTCCTTGTACAACTTCAGTTTGAGATGACAGAATATCTATTTCTGATTGTTCAAATTTGTATATTGCATAATATTTTGATAATGATAAACTTATAGCATTTTTCATTTTTTCATAAGTCTAAAAGTGCTTTAGAAAGGAAAATACCGTGGTGAAAATTAAATAACAGCCAAGTACAAATATATGATGAATATCTGAATGCAGACCAGTAGTCTGTAATTTCGTTGTCACTTTCTGAGATTTAAAAATGTCTACAGACTACATCGTTTGTTTAGTAGACATTTGCTTATAAAATTACAGACTTGAACTTTTAGATTAGACACCAGCGCACATGCCGAAAAGGTGAGACTTTAATTTTGAAATGGGCGAGTTTCCGTTCTCTATAGTTTCTCCGGTCGTTTCTCACAGCATGCTGTTTCTCCTGCGGTCAGTTCGAGCTCTGTTTTTATAAAGTATAAATCCAGGAATGTTGGTGGTCGTTCTTGGTTGACTTCAGGTTGACATTTCCTTCTTTTTATCGAGTAAGACACGTTAGACTCTTCGTATCTCTGTATTATAGCGGTTAATGACCTGACTTCTACAAGGTTAGACTGTGTCCTGTGAATCTACAGAGAGTCTGTATCTGTTCCTAAAGCTGTTTTGCGGCTCTGCAGGTTTAGTCTGTACTGTGTGGCTGTGTTTGTGTGTTTCACAGGAGCAGGAATGGCTTCGCTTGGGACTTTGCTGAAGTCTGGAGTGTCGCTGCTGCGCTGCGTGAGACAGTTCAGTACAGGTGAGCTGCTGCTCGGATGGTGTTACTGCGTGTTGTGTCTGCTGTATGTTTATGTTGGGGCTCGCTCGCTCGTGCTTGTGTACACTCTTAAAAAGATGGCCCTTTAGTAAAGGAAATGGTTCTGTTTAGAGCTATTAGTTCTATATAGAACCATTTGATGCTTAAATGGTTCTTTGCGGAATGCGTTGTAAATGGCTCTAAATACAGTCTTTTTAAAATGGTCCTCTATAGCACCAAAAAGGGTTCTTCTACTGTTCCAAGCTTGACATTGTAACAATAGAAGATTTCTTTTCAAAACGGTTCTATATATAGCCATCTTCAGCACATGCTCCATCAGTCTAAAGGACCCTTACATGATGCAGAAAACCCTTTAATCATGCAGAGGGTTCTTTGAGTGTTCATGGTTCCATATAGAGCTATTTTGTTTACTAAAGAACTCTTGAAGAACCGATCTTTTTTAAGAGTGTAGTGACGATAAAAGAACCCTTTTTGGTCCTGTATTAAACCATATACAACATTTCTGTTCATGTCCATTTCACCATGCAGAGAACCATTTAAGTGTGAATGATTCTAAATAGAACCATTCACTAAGGAACTCTTGAAGAACCATCTTATAGAAGAGTGTATAAAACCATCATTTTTGTATTTTTACTGTTGACATGCATGAAATATGCCAGAGTTTCCAAACCCAGTCCTGACAGTTCAGGGATTTGTTCCACTGTTCCAGCTCCTAAACACATCTGAGGGTTTCACAAAGCAGGATTTCTCAGCTTACCCAGATAACTTCTGTTCAATAGCAGAAGAGCTGAGGGACATTCCTATTGGACAGTCCTCATCTTTGGGCTTATGTTATCTGGCTAACTAAGAAATCCACCTGTTTCTATATCGAGTTGTTGATTGCTTGGTTCGGGTGTGTTGGGAGCTGAAACAGCAGAGATTTGGAGTTATGAAAAGGGTTACATTGGTATTGGTAGCTGACCCTGTTCCCAACCAGTTCAGTTCTGCTGCTTATAAATGTTGATCTGTTTAAAGCTGCGGTGGAGTCCAGCACCGTTTGGTGATTTCCCTGTGCTTGCACACCAACCAAACCTGGCCCTTAACTGATGAATTAGATCAGCTGTGCTTGATCAGAAAAATAACCAAACTGTGCATGAATTCGGCTCTCTGGGACCAGAGTTCCCTACCCCTGGTTTAAGGGAATAGATAGCAAAAGCACTGAAGTTTGAACCCAGTATTCTGTTATAAAGCACAGTGAAAAGCTGATCACAGCTGTGCTTCAGAACCATGAAACAATACATTGAGATGTCTTTGATGTTGAGGTTTGTTAGTAGTAGAAAGCACATTTGCTCAGACAGTAAGGAATACAAGGCAGCGTTTTATATTTCTACCTTTGATGTAGAGGGTAATCTAGGTAAAAATGACAATTTTGTCTCCACTTTTGCAGCAGTTTTTGAGGACACTACATCTTCTAAGTTAATTTTATTTACTTTTTTCTGTGATTTGTCTTTCTTGAAGGAACATGTTCTCTTGTGCGAATGCATGCCATCCCAAAGCTGAAACAGGTGGACCGGTGGACTGAGAAAAGAAGCATGTTTGGAGTTTATGACAACATTGGAATTTTAGGTGAGCTCTGACAAGTGTCAAAATCAGAGGTCCTAGTAAAATGGAACTGCCTGCGTAGGTGTGATGAGTCCTGCATTGAGCCCATTCTTCCATTCTCCTCTCATGCATGCCTACATACACTAGCCAGATCTTTTAAAACTGCAGTTACTGTAGCTACTTGTAGGCTTTCTTTAGACAAACCACCAAGTGTTTTTCTCCCACATGCATCTGATTTGTATCTGATAATTAAGCTTTAAAAAAAGAAAGAACACACATGACCAGATTCTGTTGGTTCCAGTCTGAGCCAGTTGAGATATAAAATGCCCAGTTATATTAATCTGAGGTCAGTGAAAGAGGAGAAGAATAGTTGACCATAGAGCTGGGCAATATGACAATATTTATCATTATAGTGACAAATTACATCTTAATATGTCACAGTATGCTCTTTTGAGCATATTGTGCATATCGTCAGTACTTAATCACTTACCAGCTGTGTGTTTGATTAAAAAGAGAGCATAATTAGTCATATTTAATTGTATTTAGTGCAGCACAGTGTGTAAAATGTTGAATACAAATAATACATTTTTTGATGACCTTTTTAAAATGTTGCACTACTTTGTTTAAACTTATCAGATGTCAGAAAAAATATCATGACACATCAACAGCCTCAGACATCAGACAGAGATGCTCTGGGTTCAGCAAAAGTGGATTTCAGGAGCCATATTTTTGTACATATTTTTTGTAATTTTTTAGGGCACTGATTTGAATCAGACATCAGACACTGAACAGTTTAGACTGTTATTAAGAGCAACCTACAGTGTTAGGTGAATGTAATGTTAGGACTCGTAGGGCAGGGCTAATTATATGTGTAGGGGGCAGAAACATGGGTTAAAACACACCTGGTTGGCAGGGGAATCACATAACACTGCCCTTATTGGTACAACATTCCTTTTGACACAGGGAGTCAACTGTCAAGTCATTCGTCTGTGGGGCTGTTGTGTTATCCACTATGATTGCTGTACATTTCAGTGAGGGAGAAAACCCATTAGTCACTTCACATACATCAGTTTATGATGAGCATAAATGAGTTGGCAAGTTATCAGGTGTAATTATCGATTCCAATTCCAATACCGTACAAACATAGTAATTACGTTTTTCATTTAATCAATGAATATCAGCCGCTGGTATATTGTTCTCCCCCTAATACGGTACAGGTCTTACTGAGTGATGTACTGTATTCCCTCTGCCTTTAATGGGGTTAGGTGACTTTAAGGCTCACCCTAAGGATCTGATCACCGGCCCTGCTTGGCTGCGAGGCTTTCGTGGCAACGAACTTCAGCGTCTCACCCGGAAGAAGCGGATGGTGGGCGATCGAATGATGACAGAGGATCGACACATCCTGGAGAAGAGAATCCGCTTCCTCTACCGCCGCTTCAACCGTTACGGAAAACACAGATAGAGACTGTGGCAAACTCAAGCTTTTTCCTCTGCTCTTCTCTCTGCCTGTGTCTGTCTTTTTTGTCTTTTGGATTTAGAAATGATCAATTAAATGTTAACTGTTACCAGGTGTTCTGTTTTTGTGTTCTTGATCAGACTATGAAGATTTAATCCTGTGTAAGTGTAAGAAAGGGTGTAACAGCACACTGTGACAGTACATTGCAATGCTGAAATGTGACAGTGCAATTATGCAATTTAATGCAGTTGTTTTTTTTTTTGAACACCAGAGGTCACATCAACTTAACGTCTACCAGCAAGTACATTATCCATCACTCTCCCAAACTCAGCTTAACCCACCCCTACACATACAGTATCTTTCTCATTCCCACCTCCAGGCTACCTGCTCACTGAATCATTTTTCTTCCTTTAAATTTAGTTAAAAATATCTTCAGAATATCGACTCAAATCATAAACTGAGTGAATTATCACACCTTTACAGTGAGGACAATGCAAACTCATGCACAAACATTATAAAAATCTTTTGTTTATTAAAACAGGCGGTAATGGTAGATCCAAAAAGGAGGGGCTAGAAGTGGAAAAACATCACAGTTGCAAAAGCATCAACAAAAGCATGCGTGTTCTCCTTGCCAGTGGAATGCATTGGCTTTGCTGTGCACTTCTTACAGTAATAAATAATCTTACACTTCACATGCACAGACATTCTCTACTGCTTTCAGTATAAAAAAAAATACAACTTAAATGTTCTGTAAAGTGTTTGTCAGAATGGGGCTTAGTGAGAGAGGGAGCTGGGACTCGGGAAGCCAGTGAATGAAGCCTCCGGCAGAACAGAGAGATCAGACTCGGCCTGCAACAGAGACAACAGAGATTTAGAAATCACATATGAATCACCTGAAGATGTGCAAAATTAAGCATTTTGTCTTTATGATCTTCACAATACTTAATCTTTAAAAACAAGCTTTAGTTTGTTCACAATTTTAAAATGTGTTTTTTCAGACTTTCTTGGTGTAAATGCAATTTTTTTCAAAGCTTGTAACATCTTAAGAAAAATGTCCTTTTTATTCAAAAGAAGTGCTTTGGAGAAGAAGAAGTGTTTAGTTTAGTGAAACTGAGAAGCAAACATGCTGTAAAATGTCACATTTATATCTAGCTAAGCATTTAAATACATTTTATTGGTCTTTGCTTTACAACTGATGGAGGCCGCTGAGTCTCCAGTCACGCTGAGCTGGTTCCTCTTACCTGAGTATCTCTCTCTTTTTCCTTTGGAACTCTATTTCTCTTTTTCTTGGGTCCTGCTGTTGATTGGTTTGGAACTGAGGGGGAGGAACCATTATCATCTCCACCAGGTACACTATCTAAAACGGCTCCACATTCGTCCTAGCAAAAGCAACATGAGAGGGAGAGTCAGAAAGGTAAAGGCAGAAGAAGTACTCATCAGCTGGTAGCGCATTTATTGCTAGTCAAGTTGCCAGCAAATTCAAAGCAAAACAACTAAAATCTAAAGAGCAGCACTAGACAAAACTTTTTATGAAGTGAAGAAATGTACTTCTTAAAAAATAGCTTCAATAATAACAGTGTAGCTGAAACAAGTTTGGTTAAGCTTTTTGCTTGACTAACAGCTGCCTCACCTCTAATGGTATGGTTATCTGGGCTGTCCTGTATTCGTCTCCGTATGAGTCCAGAGTCTTCATAAGAAACCTGATAGACAGCCAGAGTTAGAAACACAGTCCTGGATCCTCCCAACAAACAGGTTATGCTGTATTCTTCTTAGGCATGCACTGATATGGAAATTCATAGCTGACACAGATATCAGATATTTTTCATGCACATGTCTATTAATAAAGAAAAACATTTATAAAATGAAGAAATGGGCCTAAATCCACCTGGATTAACATTACAGAGAAAAAAAACATTTATTTGAAGAGGGTTATGAATGCAGTGAAACAAATAAAAGATATTTTAGAACAGTAGCCCAGTGGCAGCTAAACATTCTGCCCTCCTGGAATACAATAAACATGCCACCATTTTTTCAGCAAATATCCGCTGATACTGATATGATTCATAAATCATTGTGCATCCCTTATAAAAATGAAAAGGCATGCAGTCTCACTGCCTCCCTTGCCTTCTTTCTTTCTTCATCCTGCGTGTTAGTCTTTGTACCTGGTGAAGGCGACCCAATATCCTTTCATTCACCTGAAAAAAAGAACCGCATGAAAAATACAATGTGATTAAGTATGACCTTTAAAAAACAATGAAAACAGCATCACTGGACTGACACTCTCTCTGTAGTAGCAGCATTAACTTGAAAATGATTATATGCAAAGTTTAAGGGAAAAGCTCTGGCTCACCTGTTCGATCTCCTTGCACCTCTTGCTCAGGGCCTGGTATTTCCTCTTATCAAGTTCCCTCCTGTCCTCTTCGCCGTCCTGCCCCGGGCCGGCCGCAGGCCCTCCATTGTCCAGGATCTCAGTGCCTCCTGGACCCAGCTCAACTCCGCCAGCCTCCAGTTCAGCCTCCAGAATGTGACCCCCAAATAGTGGCGGCAAAGCCAAGCCTGAGAAATCCTCCATCATCTACAGTACACAAAGAGACAAGACAGAGCCACATTTCATTATTCTGCACAGTTCATAAAAAGTGAACACACTGGAATTCACTGCTTTTGTATCACACTGATCTTTCTGAAACTTTGGGTGGTGAAGCAGTTGATATTCCTGGACAATGAAAATTAAAAGTCTTTGATTTTGATAATCTGTAGATGCTCTGACCAACATGATCAATCACCTTCTTCTTCCTCCCATGTAGAGGGGGCACTTGATAATAATGGATGATACAGGGGCTGTAGTTTTGCTTGGCTTTCAGTTCCCAAATGATTTAAGGCTGAATTAAAAGGCAGCTCTGTCAAATATTTAATATGCGGGTTTGAATACGTACGCAAGCATCATATTCCAGTTTAATATCTTCTTTAAAACATCTACAGAAAGATATTTATATAACTAGATATATAGATATTTTACCTTTTAGCGTAAGAGGACATGAGTTATCATTAAGAGGTGCATTTATCATTAATCATCCAGAAAATACTAATAACTTAAAGGTCTGAATACTTGAAGTCACTTTATATTACATTTAAAACAGGCAAATACATTAAATGGAAGCAACACTTACTTTTTAACTTTTTTGTTGTGGCTCATCAGCTTGTGTTTCTGTTATCGATCCTCAGCAGCAGCTCTGTTAGCTGTTGTTCGTTATCAGGTCATTTATAACAATAATTCGTTCCTCATCGATTAAATTCTCTCTCCCTTTAAGCTGCATAAAAACGTTTTATGTCGCCTGTAATGTTAATGTTTTAAGCTCCATTTGATCTAAAACCTTCAAGTGAACAGCACCGATGGACCATTTCTCCGCCGCGCGGTTAAAATACGTCATTACTCCAGCTGCCATGAACTACAGTTCCCGTTAAACAACACGAGTCATTTTGAACTACAATTCCCATGAAGCAACACCAACAGAACGCAACATGGCTGGCAGTAAGTATTTGATAGCAAGCGAGCAACTAGAAATGTTGATTTTTTAATGAGTTTAAGTCATTTTTGTGTGTTTATTTGTACATGTACATTAATACATTTTACCGGTGGGTTAACAGTCGTTACATATCGCGGTCTGCTGTTGTTTCGGTGTTTTGAGTCGTGTTTGACCTTGGCTCTGCAGTTTAGTATCGCTGCTGCTGCTGTTTGGTTGCGTGACAAACTGAGGTTTTAGCGTTGTGATCTGCAGGGTTTTCATCTACATAGGCTATAGATCGTCCTTGTGTATAATATCACTAATTTCTCTCTTTCAGTTGGAAATTTTCTAAGAAAAGCTTGGAACAAGGAGCCTGTTGTGACAGCCGCCTGCGGGCTCGGGTTCCTGGGTGAGTGAGATCATTTTAAATATACACTGTATGTCCAAAAGCATCAACATACCCTTCCTAATCCGTAAATACATTCAGCTTGTTGACACCTGCATTTGTATAAAAGCATAATCAGTAGAATATCACCGTGTTCGATGCCAAGCGTCGGCTGGAGGGGTATAAAGCCTCCCAGCATTGGGCTGAGGAACTGTGGAACTGTGGAACTGAGTTCTCTGGAGTGATGGAGCTCCATCCAAAACCTTTAGGATGAGCTAGAGTGGAGTTTGGGATGCAGCACTGATCATCCAACATAAGTACCTGACCTCAACCAATGCTCCTGTGGTCAAATGCAGTCAAATCCTCAAAGCGATGCATAAAGTCTTCCCAGAGGAGTATGAAGGCTGTTACTTCAGCAAATGGGGGAGTGGGAGGGGGAGCTGGAGTGGGGTAAATGCCTATTAATACCCTCAATTTCACAAGAAACATTGGATGAACAAGTGTCAGCAAACGTTCTGACATACAGTACACTAAGTGTGTGTATACAAATATAACTGACAATATTTTTATTTTGTTTTTAATTATTTGATTTTCATTTTTCTCATTAGAATTAATTTTATTTGTGCAAAAAAGTGCTGTATTTGTATGAATTCGAGTAACCTTTGCTTGAAATGTATCAGCTATTGTTTACACAGATTAAATTTTAATTAGAGTGAAAATGTTTGGAAATTTTACCATCAACCTGTGAAGCATTTTAATTCAGTAATTTTGCAGTGATTTAGTATTTTTGTTCTGCAGCTATTATTGTGCCGTTGGCTAGTCCCTTCACTAAGTACACAGGGATGATGAACAAAGCAATCCCATACAACTACCCAGGTAAGGGATCTAATGGCATGAATATGTTATTGTGCTATATTGCAGTTTTTAACACGATTGCTGTCTCTCTGATTGTCTGATCTTGCTGATTGTCTGTCTGCGGATTGACTCTTTTCACTTAAACCTCATCTCTCAGTTCCTGTACGAGATGATGGAAACATGCCGGATGTCCCAGCCCACCCATGTGATCCACAGGGCAGGAGCCTGGACTGGCTGAAAAACCTGTGAGGAATCTCCCTGAATCCCACTTCTGTACAGACCACAATTCTCTCTCTCTTGCGTTCTCTGCTTTTGACTCAATGGCTCTCAATAAATGTCCTTTGTTTAAAGACACTCTCCAATCCATTTTTATTTCACTGCCTTGCCCCTAATGGTATTACCAGATCCCGTAGCTGTAATATAAGTAAGTGTACTTTATAAAACATTATTCTAGCATCTTTCAGATGTCAAAATACAGTTTGAAGTGACTGATGAAAAAAAATATATATATATATATTATATATATATGTGTATGTGTGTGTGTATGTGTGTGTGTGTGTGTGTTGTGTGTGTGTGTGTTAAGCTAATAGCTGCAGGGAATAGACAAATGAAAAGGCAACATGATTAGCCATACAGGTCTGTCATAAATAAGGAGATAGACTGCAACTTCATTCCTTTTCAAAAGGCTGTTATGGTCTGAACAAATTGGCCTGTTCTTTGAGTTCAACTGACCCTCTTGTCTTTTTAAAGAGCTGTCTAGCTTCTTCTGGTGGCTTCATCCAAAGAGTGTATAACTGCAACTCACCAAACATTGCATTACATACATTGACTGGCCACTTTATTTAATACACCTCCTTGTTTCTACACTCATTGTCTATTTTATCAGCTTCACTAACCATATACTTGCACATTGTAGTTCTACAATTACAGACTTACTCCCATCTGTTTCTCTACATACTTTGTTAGCCTTCTTTTACCTTGTTCTTCAATGTTCAGGGCCATTACAGAGCAGGTATTATTAGGGCGGTGAATCATTCATTACTATAAGGCACTAATGAAACATTTGGTAAAGTGTCAGTATTCTTGAGATTGTTTTGGTAGATAAATTTGGATGATAAAATGGAATATTCTGTAATTTGTTTTAATAAAAATAAACCTAATTAAGGTATAGGATCACTGACTGGTGCAAAAGACCTTTAGTCTGAAGTCCAAATCAGTTAAAAGTCTCCAATGTACTTGCAACTCTAACAGTTTGGTAGTGTGATCCATGTTACTTTCTTCCATTGCTGTAAGATTGACATTTTAATGAGAAAAGTAGAGTAGACAGTAGAGATTAACATAGTTTATTTTAATTCTTACACAAAAGAGGAAACAAGCTGACAGACAGGATGAACTCTCGATTAAACTGTGAATCTCAGGCCTCCCAGATGAGCCCAAATATACAGTCTGATGCCTGAAGATGAACAAGCTTCACTGACCTTCCTGGTGGACATTGATAGACACAGAGCAGTGACCCTACACACTGCAATACGCAAAAATAGTTTGATGAACCAGCAAGAAACTGTACAAGAGGCTAATAAATCTTGACAAATGATTACTATTACTGAACAGTTTACAGTGTGTAATCATGTACATGCGCATGGCGACAAAGACATAACTCTTTATGTGAGAAATATCCATTGGTTCTTAATCTGAGGACCAGAACTGTACAGCTGCGAGTGGGAACCATAAAGTTTCCTCTGTTTGCTCTACAAGACACAAATTAATGGACACATAACTCAGATTTCAGGAAACATTTATACATAACACTGATTAATACATAATTAATGTTTAAAATTAATGTGAATTTCCTTTCGGTCTGATATACTCAATGGAAGAAACACATAAAAGAGAGAAAAATTCTCTAGCAGACCTTGTGCCTCAATCGTTGATTGATAAACTGATAAAACTGAATCCACAATAACTTACTGAAGCAATTGCACTTAAAAAGTGACATAAATCACAGGTTATCATTCTTATTAATGCCATGAAAGAGTTTTACTACATTCAGTACATTTTCATTATCATTATCGTAGACATTCGGATTCTAATCTACTCCATGTTTACAGTGTTAGCAACAAACGCATTTTCTTGGACGTTCCTTGGAGTTCAATTAATCATTTCAACCCCTTATTTATATAATTTATATGCAACAAAGAATTAAATCAAAAAAGTCATTAAAATCAGTTACAATACGTATGTCTCTCAAATTGTAAGACACAAACATCATCCAAATGTTGTTTCCTTTCTCTCACAGTAATGAGAGTCAAAAGCCAAAGATATGCTGAAGCAGGACAGTGAAGATGTTCTTATCTACTTGTTTTAGCTCTACACTTTCATTCAGCACTTCCTCTAACATTCCCTCACTTTCTAAACCTTTCTCACCCACTTCCAGACAGAAGTACCGTCTCCATGACCTTCACAAAGCCATGACCTTCACAACTCACTCTTAGCCTTTGTGGCCCTATCAAGGGTCTGTGCAACTCAATACTACATGCTTAGTATGGCTTGTTTTGGGGGATATTAGGAAAAAACATGGTTATTCATTACTGGGGAAGCAGAGAGACCTGAGCAGAGTCTTCTTATCAATAACCTTCATTAACCTCCAACATCCCACAGTCCTTTCACTCTCATAAGGAACACCCTTCTGCACTTTTCACATTCCACATCCTTCAGCTTTTTCTCACCTCTCCTCGCCGACCAAAATCAGGAATCCCAAGAAATGCTCTGAAACTCCCAGCCTTCATAATATAAAATAAAACTTAAAATATGTTCTCACCTCTGGCCTGAATTAATTGCAAGTAAGCAATTTAAACAAAAAAACAAAAAGTAGATAAAGTACTGATGTCTTATCCTACATGTTGGGGTGGTTTGCACACATACAAACAGCTCTGTAAAAAAAACATTTTCTTTAGATTATGTGGATATGCATATGAAAATGAAATGAAAAACAAATTCTGCATGGTAAGTAAAAAACAGGCAAAACATTTTGTTAAAAAAAGGTTGAACGTGTCACAAAAATGTCCCCAAATTTCAGTCACTCACACATTTTCTTGGGGGATGTGACTGTGCTGTGAATGCAGAATACACAGTAAAACTGCAACAGGAACCAGTCCTGTCTCAGTTTAATCTGCTAATGAGTTTCCATTTACATAGCAGTTTAGTTCACACTGTTAGATTGAACGAAATATTGTATATTCTCAATATATATGCGCTGAATCTTAGACTCAGCTCAGCAAACTCAAAACCATAAGGATGATGTGGCATAGCTGCCTTTCGCATTTTCTCTTGCATTTTTTTCAATTGCTAAAACCTAGACTGGTAATATTACAGAAGCAAAACATTAATCACCCCAGTGTAAAAGCAGCACTTTGGTGGATGTCAGCTATAATTCCAAAACACTGGATTCTCTGCCCTGACATTGCTAATAAATATTTGTTTTATTTATTTGAAACATTTCAGTTAGATTTAGGGCTGTTTAAAATAAGAAGTCAGAGCTGTCCTGTGTTTTTAACTTACAGCTGTCATACAGAACAAGTGCTTCTTTTACAAAAGGGGTTAAATTCTTCATATGTTTCCTGCTGATGTGCCTTTAAACTATTGTATCTTCAAGGAGAATCAGGAAAACACTCTGGGAATCAGTTGATATATTTTAAATGATATACATCAAATCTCTGTTGATGTGCTTACTGATAAATTTCTTCATACATGTTGTTTTGTACAAGTTCAAATGTTTATCTCTCTACAGAACAGGTTCGCTCTAACTAACACTGATGGGGTAGTTGTTTTTAAGTGTTGGCACATAAAGTTGTGTGCAACAAATGCCCTCTGAACTAGGCCTGAACCATACTGTAACACAGAGACTCTAGTCGATGAGGGGAGCTGAGCGGTCGTTGGTCACAGTCTTCCTCAGTCGAATGTGAGCAAACGGATTGGTCCTGCATGGGAAATGTGCATGTTAGTAATTCTGGCTGATTAATCAGATACATTTTTTCATGAAGATCACTTTCAGTCCTGGCTGAGTTACCTGTTGGGGGACGGAGGGGGAGAGGAGCGCTCGGCAGGCAGCTGGGAGAAGATGAAGAGAAAAAAAATGGGCCTCAACACACACTGCGAATGCAAGTATTTTATTGTCTATGTACACTTAACACAGTAAAACCTGCAGCGTCAAATTAACCTGCAGTGGACATCTGAGACCCGCCTGTCTACACATTAGATATGACATTAGATAAACATGCCGGAATCAAATGTTCACTGTTGGTCTCAATTTAACACAAGTGGTTTTACTGTCAGTAATACAGATGCCATAATGTTATAGCACCTGTCAAATTAGGGACATGTCTACTTACAGAAAAAGGGTTTTTCTTATTTGTATAATTCCACACATTTTAGATTAATAGTGAAAACATAAAAACTATGTAATAAGACATTTTCAACAGTCTTACCCTTGTTGACTGCTGAAAACTACTTGTTGGGGGACTTTTAAAATGTTTGTTTTTGGAAATAAATTCATAATCCTTTGCCAGCGCATACTGGCAAAAAAACAATGTGCAGACTGGCTGTAGCACAGCGTCCTAGTACTAACAACCCTGTGATCTAAAGTCCAGTTATCAACCAGGAATATTTAGCCACTCACTCACACCAAAATATGCAGGGCAGGGGCGCAGGGTCAAGTTTAAGAACCACTGCATTGCTGTACTGAAGTGCGGAAAGATGGTTTATCTCACTTTGTCCTTGAGTCGGTCAGCAGACAGTCTGGGGCTGAGCTGTTTGGTGTCAGGGTTCATCATGCTGTAGGGTCGTGGCCTGAAGGTGCTAATGCGCTGGGACACCACACTCCTGTCATCTTCCGAATCTGGGCTGGCCTGCTTCAGCTCGCCACCAGGGGGCAGTCTGTCCAACTGTCCTGTGCTCGTGCTGTTCAGCTTAGACAGTAGAGGGAGGCTAGGAGAGGGAAAGAGAGAGAGAGAAACAGGGAGAGAGAAAGAGAAAGAGAGACCCAGTTGGTATTTGGAAACTGTCAAAACATTTTGCAATTTTTTTAAGCAAAGTCACCCACAGTTTATTGAAATAAAGGTCAATAAAGGTCAAGACAGACCTGATATCTTGCTGTTCAGGTGTGTTTGGGAACGGCTGTGTGTAGGAGAAGGGAAACCAGCCTTTCCTTTGTAAAAGAGAATAAGACAGCAGTGTCAAACTGGCTGATGAATATCAACCTACTATTCTACACAGCAATGATTAAAACTATGACAAGGCCAGCGTCATGATGATTGAGTCCGACAGTTCTGTTTTAATGGGTATATCTTCTTTTTTGTATTTTATTCTGTTCCGATGTATAACGTGTGTGGTTTTATGTATCATAATTATTTTTTTAATAACAATTTTCCAATTTTCTTTTCTATATTCTATAAAATATACAGGTGTTTTTGTGTCTGATATAGATATGGATCCTTTGGAAAGCTACAATGATACATTTGCTTCTGGACAGTGAGGATCAGCACAGTGTTTAATTGTTTACATCACTCCATCTAGCCTATCTTCCACTCAGGTAACTCCGCTGCAGTAACAGCATGTCTTGCCTTAAGTGGTGAAGTAACTGACTGCCTGATTAATGTTGGTATTGATAGCCCGTACCGTCCCGTCCTCTCATTCTGCCCATAGTGCCAGCCATCTCTCGGCTCGCTGATCAGTAGACTCAGGGTGTCTCCAGGGAGGAAGGACAGCAGGCAGGAGCCTCCTCCTCCTCCTCTTTCTAGTCCTACACCTCCTTCAGCAGAGCTTGGGGAGTGGGGGAACAGCGCCTCAACACGAGGAGGAGGAGAGAGAGGAAGTACTCGAGGAAGAGAAGAACCTGCAGTGGGAAAAGAGAAAGAGACAGAGATGAAGAGGGAGGCAGAGAGAAAGATAAAGATAGAGACCAGGATATAAAAAAGTAGAGAGAAACATGACATGAAAGATAAATAGAGAGAAAAAAAAAGAGAGAGGATGAGGACAAGAGTTGTGAGCCTTACCGAAGATCCCAGTCCGTGTCTCACTGGGCTGTCTCCTTGGCAACGGCAGTGTAGAAGTTGCATAGAGTTCAGTAGCCTTGAGGATCAGAGGATTGTGGAGAGGTGGAGAGGTAGCGCCGCCCTGCTGGAGAGCAAAGGGCACAGGTGTGAGTGCACGGGAGAGAGGGGCACTGTGGGGAAGAGGAGGACTGTGTGGAGCATTCGGGGGGAGAGCCAGGCTCTGTAGGGAGGTGGGGCTGAGAGAAAGAGAGGCAGAAATGGTGGCAGGTGGAGACTGTAGACTGGACTGGGACTGGGCGGGACTGGCGGAGGCGCTGGCACTGAGGGTGGGGCCGTTGGGGGAGCTGTGTTGAGGTGTGCTGGTTGCAGACGGTGCAGGGAGAGAGGAAGGGCTGGGATCAGAGGAGCCTGACTGAGACCCCCGTTGTTGCTGCTGCTGCTGCTGCTGAGAGCGGTTGCTGGCCTCACCGTTAAGCAAGGGAGGGACTTCCTGTATGGACAACCTCTAGAAGACAAAGCAATGAGGCAACCAGTCTGATTCATGTCATTCTTTTTTATCATCCTTAACAATATTATTAGCATCATTAACACTATCAAAATAGAAATTAAATATATTCATTGAAACAACATTTCTAGTACAGACAAGGCAGAAGATGAAAAAACATGCTAATAATTGAGAGGTATAAAGATAAACAGTAAAACTGGTGCATCATTTGGTACTACGGTGGCACTACGGAGAGGCTCAGATGAACTTGAATGCCGCACCTGCTCTCCAGACTGAGCAGTGCCCAGTTTGGCATGTCTGAGGACCTCTGCTATCCCAGCAGCCCCGGAGCCCTGAGGAGCCGTGTGCCGCAGCAAGTTGAGTGCTCGCTCTGGGAGTTTGGTAGGTTGGGAGCAGGACTGCTGCCATGACGACAACTTCTGGGACAGGAGTTCCCGCACCTGCAGAGAAGCATGCGTTACTGTACTGATCCACCCATAGACTACAGTTTTAGTCTTTCAGTACTGGCCCACCCATAGGCTACTGTTGCATGTTACAATACTGACTCATCCCTAGACTAGTGTTTGAGTCTTTATGTACTGAACTATACATAAATTGTCTTAGTCTTACAGTACTGACCCATCCATAAACTATTGTTCCAGTGTTACAGTCCTGAACCACTGTTTTAGTGTTCACAGTACTGACTCTTTCATAGACTACTGTTTTAATCTTACAGTACTCACTCATCCATAGACTACTGTATCAGTGTTACAGTACTGACTCATCCACAGACTACTGTTTTAGTCTTACAGTACTGACCCATCCATAAACTATTGTTTCTGTGTTACAGTACTGAACTACTGTTTCTGTCTTAACGGTACTGACTCTTCAATAGACTACTGTTTTAATCTTACAGTACCCATCCACAGACTACTGTTTCAGTGTTACAGTACTGACCCATCGATAAACTTCTGTTTGTGTTACATTAATGATTCATCCGTTGACTACTTTTAGTCTTACAACGCTGACCCATCGATACACTTCTGTTGCAGTGTTACAGTATAGACCTATACATAGACTACTGTTTTAGTGTTACAGTGCTGACCAATACATAGACTACTGTTTTAGTGTTACAGTGCTGACCAATACATAGACTACTGTTTTAGTGTTACAGTGCTGGCCACTACATAGACTACTGTTTTAGTGTTACAGTACTGACCAGTCCATAAACAACTGTTTTAGTGTTACAGTACTGACCCATCCACAGACTACTGTTTTAGTCTTGCAGTACTGACCCATCCTTACAGTTCTGTTTTGTCTCATATTGTTCACTCTTTTTTGGAAAACAGAGTACTGTTTTAGTTTTGTAATTCAGAGGGTTGTCATTTGTTATTGTAGTTTATGGTCTTAAAGCTGCACTATGTAAGATTTTTGGCTAAAATTGAAAGCAATCACATTAAAAAAAGGAAACACATAAAAATATGACGTCCGTGTGCTGCGGCGAGTCACCATGTAAAGCTTGAAATAAAAGTGTAAAATTCAGATGCATTGGGCTGCATTTCCCTGAATTATTTGGACCACATTGTACATCTTTATGCATTCATGTCACACTCACACAAAACACTGTGATGTTTTGGCCTCAAATGCAAAATCAACATTGCAGTTTTAGGCAGTTGTTTTTTCTAAAATATAAAGTAACCTCTGAATAATCTGGTGCACAGGCAGTTTGTACAGTTATTTAGCAATCGGTGTAGTTGGTTAGCTGTATGTCCAGGTATTGCAGCGGTAGCTGAAAAGTAGTTGGCAAGGTTTGCTGTTGTTCTGTAACTTTTTGTTGCAGTTGTTTATGAGTCTGATGCAATGTAGTTTTATACCTTGCAGTGGTAGTTGATTAGCAGCTTGGTGACAGAGCACTGGCGGTCCACCAGGAAGCAGTACCTCCTTCTCTCCTCCGTCAGAGCTGAGCGGTAACCCACAGCAACCAGCGTGTCCAACTCCGTCTGCCTGCGGCTCATCAGCTCTACATACTGAGAGGGGATAAAAGAGAGAGTGAGACTTCAGAGAGAGAGAGACTTTTTCTGTGTTTGATTGCATTAAAAAGGGGAATTCTGTATAAGTTGATGAAAAACAAAGTCATTCAGAGTGGTTTGATGTCAAATGCTCCATTCTAGAGAAACTTGCTGATTCAGAATTGTTCACAGTGGTCGTGATAGGAACCAAACATTTGAAGCACTGTGTTTTAGAGAGCATCTGAAGGCTCACAGTGTGTGGGTGTTTCATGTTTTTCTGTATGAGTAATTGCAAATGCTGCTGTTCTACACTAACTCTAATCTGAACCTCAGCAGCCAAAACATCAGATTTTTCCTCTTTTGATGTTTTTACAACAGAAAAAATTGCACTCATGGGAGAACACCCAAATGTTGCCATAACATTGATAGGCACACATTTCCGAAACCATGTCAGCATACAATCACATAAACTCTTTTTAACTCTCAGCTCAGTCGGCTAACAGCAAGCACCTTTAAAATGGTGGTAATAAGGTTTCGCTCTAAATATTTGAAGAAAAAAAAATCCTGCCACACAATTCCAGACACCCTGCCACCCTGTCACCAAAACCCTAGTGTCAGTACAAAGTGCTGGACTACTGCTTTTTACACCCAAACTAATAGGTCCTCACTTCACAGTTTCCTTTTCAAACAAAAAAAAAAATTAAATGTATATACACACACATACATTCACAAATTTGAAATACTAATTCTAGTTGTATAGACTGTAAAGAATGTAAAGAAACTTATCCTCTAATGCTGCACTTCCTGTTTCTAAAGATTTAGCAGATTATGTTTATCCTTGGTTTGGCCCTGTGATGAATTTCTTTTAAATACACGCAGGACAAAGAGTCAAAATAGTATCCAAAGAAAGCATGTTTTTTTTATTTACTATTATTTTACCTTTATCAAACACTCAGAAGACGTGTAGGTTCACTAGTGGTTTTGGACAATACATAAAATGCCTATAGTTGTGTCATCATGACCACTCATTCCTATCACTATCACTGTAAAGAAAATTCATTTCTAATCTTTTTTATTTATTTTAGAATAAAAGTATAGACATAAAAACTATTAAATGATAACACATGTGGAATTAGGCAGTCACCATAAAAAAATAAAAATGTATGAATGAATTTCAGATTCTTAAAAGTAGGTTAAAAGTGTTTTCTTTCTTGTTGCAGCTTTACACACTCTTGGCATTTTCTCAAGCAGCCACTTTGGATGCTTCTCTAATGGTCTTTAAGAAGTTCCACATGAAACCTTGTTGGCTGCCAAAAACTGTGTGTTGTGTGGCACTCCATTTTAACACTTTATATCCTAGAAGTACCATTAAAACACAATTTTCTAACCTCTCTTTATCCCTTACAATAAAATAAGCTGTTTTTTGCTACTGTTCCTTTAACAATTATAAATGTAAATGACCTCTGTTCTGATTGGCTGGTTTGTATTGTGCCTTATTCAAAGAGCAGTCCGGGTGGAAACACTCCTTTTAACTAAACGGGTGAAGCTAAGCTGCTGTATGCCTAAAAGATCAATATACGTAAATGTGCTGGTTTGTGATATCACAAAAACAATAAATTCAAAATTAGCTGTTTTTACAGCTTCATTTCCATATATGAATCATAGGGACTAGGGAATGTACAGTACGTTTGAAACTGTGCTTATGTACTACATCAAACTCTTTTATTTCAAAAGGCTAAGGAAATTATTTTTTCCATGATAATGTGCCCTTTAAAACTTTTGTTGTGGAAATAGATTAATGCATAGGCATGACCTGCAGTATTTATATTTGTTTAGGTAACAACTTTTCAAGCATTTTATTCAAGTATCACTAAAGTAGATCACTAAAAAGATGATGTAAAAGGTGTGCTGAGCTTGGGTACCTGCATCTCTCGGTCTCCGTACTTGTTCGGGTGGCGACCGCCCTGACTTTTCCTGCGTAGTTTCTTTAGCTGTGATTGGCAGCGTTCGATAGACTCTGCTTTCGACTTGCGCTCGTTCTGATACTTCTTCAGGGTTGCCTGGAGAAAGATTGAGTTGTCTCATTTGAATCCCAACAGGACTAGTACCATCCAAAATACAAGATAACTAAAATCCTGTTTTGTATTACGATTATTCAAGAGAAACTTTAGTGGAACTGAAAAAAGATGTGAATTTCTGTCTTACTGTGAGGTATTTAATGTCCAGATCCAGCTTCTGCTCCAGCTGAGAGAGAAGTTCGGAGTGAAACTGCTTCAGCTAGAGAGAAACAAACACATGCAGACATTCTTTCATTAGGTAGTGAGTATTTAACCAGATGCATTGAAACCAAAGACTGACAGTTTGGACAAACTTCAGGCTTTAAGATGAATATGCTATGCTGCATATTTTTGTCAATTTTTAGACATCTGAATGCACCATACAATGTCAGAAACCGCATAAGCAAGATTATTTGAGATTACTTAACAACTTGATGTGCCAAATGCTTGAGGCATTTGTGCTGATGTAGATTATGCAGTGTGCACAATGCTAATTTGTTGACTTCTATTACTTGTTAGCTACACTGGCTTTATAGCTCCAGTGCAAAACTAAAGAAGCAAATTGGGCCAATCATGTCTTGACTAATCGACAACACAGATTAAGGGAAAAATTGTCCAAATTATTATTTTTTTTTTTTTCAAAAAAACTATCCTTTTAACAGAGACTGGTTAGCATGTTTAAATGTTCTTCTAATTGCCCACAGGTAGTGTACAGACAGCTGATAACATGATTGTGGCTTAGAGTCTGCAGCAAGAAGGTAAAAGTCTGCACCCGGCTGTACTCGAAACTGACCCAAACCTCACAGCCCAATCTATAGTACTAATTTGGTGGGATGTGAAAAACATACACTTGTTTGAAGATAAGAGTCTGCATTCATATTCCATCAAGCTTAGCATTGGGCCTAATCTCTGACCCTTCTCACTCACCACATCTTCTAACTGCACTTGGATCTGTCTGTGCACTTCAGCCATCTGGAACAACGTGTCACCTGAAATGATATACAGAAATAAACTAAAAAAACAATCTTCCAAAATACACTGATCACACAAAACACAAAAATACATGGGAAAACACATTCACTGCCTGTGTTCATGCACCATATGTGTTAGCCATCCTCTACCCATTCTATCATTGGTCAGTTTCTGACCACAGGACCGCTGCTGACCACATACCCAAATATTCCACTTGTTCCAATAACGGCTTTAACAAGACCTCATCAGCTTTGCCTTGCCATTTCCCCTCAGGGGATACATCAGACCACCTTAAGGGCAGTTCTATTATGTTATTAACATGATTCAAGTGAAGTGTGTTAGATGAGCCCTTAGAGGAGTGAGGGGTCAAGCGAACAGAAGTTTTGACTTTGGCAGCAGAACTTGCAGAGAAATCATTGCGACCTAAAACATTTCCCTTTTAAAGTATGTGTTTTAGATAGTAAATTACTCCATTCATTATTCTAGACAGCTAATACATCCTCATAACTTTACTGTTAGCTTGCTAGTTAGCAAGCTAAAGGCTACACAGTTAGCAACAGCAAAATATAAGGGCAAACTATGGTTCTAAAGCAAATATTCCAGCCAGACAAAACAATTATTTTATGTACAATATGTTCAGACATCTCAAACAACATTCTGTATCATAAAGCCGATTAGCTCACTGAAGCTAACCTAGCCAAGGGTGAGTCTGTTCCAATTGAAAAATCCACTCCTCGTTGTCCCCTCCTGGTCAACAGGGGTCCTGTGGTCAGAAACTGACCAATAAAGAATGAGGATAAAAGACAGACTGTGCATGACAACAGTTACAGGGCTATAGTTTGGAACCGTACACCTATATAGTGGACCTATAAAAAGGTAAGTGGAGCTCATAAATTGGTCAGTGAGTGGAAGTAGGGGTTTCTAATGAAGTGGACAGGACAGTGAGTATTAGCACACGGGCACCTTGACGTAAGCATTATCTCACATTCAGTACTCTGTGATGTGATAACGGAGTACACTGCTTACAACTGTCCTGCTACTGAATGAGAGTGTATTGATACATGTAATTTGTCAGCCAGTTTTTTTGGGTGTCGTCCTGCTGGGCAGTGTGTGTGTTGGCCGTGTGTGTGCCCCACTGAACAGCGTGCTGTGTGTGGAGCCTGGCATGTCGCCCTCCCTCCCTCTCTCTCGCTCCTTCCCTCTCTCTCCCTCCCTCTTTTCTTCTTCTCCCCCACCCCCGCTGTTTTCAACAGTACAATGAGATCATGTGGTGTTGTTAATCTTCCTCAACAAAGGCCCCACTCTCTCTCTCTCTCTCTTTCTCTCTATCTCTCTCTCTCTACCCCTTATTTTCTCCTTCCACTTTTTTATTGCACACTCTTCTTTCAGTGTCTCGTCTTGTCTTCTCTTCTTTCCCTCTGCTGCATGCGCTCCCTTCTCGCTACTTCCCTCTCTCCTTCCCTTCTTTCTCATCCCCTCAGTAACCCCTTAATCCGTCTTTCTCTCTCACCCAGTTCTTTGGATCCTTGGCTGTCACTGGCAAGTTCCCCCAGTTTGACCAGTGCATCAAAGTAGCCCTTAGCTGCAATGGTCACTCCTGTATGGAGACAGAGACAGAGACAGAGAGCTATAACACTATACAGAGAGGATAACACTTGTTTCACAGGGAAACTGTTCACCAGCATAGTGTGTGACTAGGATCTAACACTCTATTATCCACACAGTGATTTACTCAGATTGAGTCACGAGGCTTTGAAACGCTTGTTTAGGGTAAACTGGGGACCACAGAGCCGCTTCCACAGACCGGCTGTGTGTGGAATCAGTGTACATAAAATGAACGGAGCAGTAATGACTCACCAGTCAGAGCTTTCTCATAGTGCTTTCCCATGGTGACAAAGTTCTTCAGACTGGGGTTAAACTGGTCCAGAATACCCTGAAAACAGCACACACACTCTCAGATTGACTTCAGTTTTATATATGTGGTTATCCAGAAATGTAAGTTCAGACCTCCACCCAAATAAAAGGAAAATAAAAGAGATCTCTTTAATATCTCTGCAGTTTCTCCTAGACAACGATGAGACCAGATAGAAAGACAAAGCAGACTTTTGTGTAAGTCTCCTGATCCTCAGATATTTCCCCTAGGCAAAAGAGTGCAGTAATCTCACGTCTCCTCTTGAGTTTTAATTGATATCTCAATAAAGTCACACATTATGCCCAGATTTGCCAGGATTACAATACGCATCTTTATCTGCAACTGAACACTCTGCTTTATCTCTCCTGTCTTATGCTGTCCATCCTAAGGAATTTTAGGTGTGTCGACATCAACTCTACTGAGCATCACAGAGAAACATCTGAGCAATAAAAGTTTCCTTTAAGTTATAATCAAGCTGAGGAAGCAAGATGAGAAAAATTCCCTACACTGTCAGAAACAGGGTACTGTCCAGGTAAATGTTTGTGCCCCAAGGTACAAACCATGTAACTGCACCCTCAAAGGTACCACATGGTACATGGTTTTGAAGGTACGCTACATTCACTTTGTATGTCTTTTTTAAGTTGTAAGATTTTTAAGTAGGTCTTGTAATTAAGAGCATGAGGGGAAAAATAATGAGAAGAACCAAGACTCAGAAGAGGAAAACCCCTTCCTCCTCTGTACCTCACCAGACAGAGTTATGACAGAAGTAGAACAAGTTTATGAGGAAGATTAAACAGATGCACTGGGCTTGTACAGAGGAACGATCTGTCAGTTAAAGCAATGATGATGTTAAAGTCTCTTAAAGACCTGGTGGATCTATTGACTGTGCGGGACTTACACAGAATGGGACACATGAGAATGTGCATGTAAGGCAAGATTATAATTTTCAGAAACAGACACACATCACTGATTAGCACTCAAATCTCCATGGACCAGACACTGCCACAACGTTTCATCATGAACTTTCTCATGTCCGAATGAAAGAAGTGATGATGGACGTGATGTGTTGTTTGTAATAAAGCCGGCAGGTGAATGTTAGGAGCTGACTCACACTTAAGAGACGAATTTGTTGTGGGGTTTTTTGTTCATTAAGATTAAACAAATGGGTAGATCTTATGACACTGAAGCTGAAAATCAGGACCCCCTTTTTCATGAGTGTGCCTTGTTAGTTCAGAATTTTTTACTTTGGTTTGTTGTTGACTGGTAGAGGGATTTGCCTGTCTTTTGGCTCTTATAATTAATCCAGAGAACTACTTATCTGATTTATTAGATTTTTTAATATAATAAACACTATGCAATTTTTGTTATTAAATTAATTAGAAGGCATACTAATTCAAAAATAAATGATAGACAACATTACTAACTTGCCTTTTGGGAACAAAAAACTGTCAGTGCTTCTGAGTGAAGAGCTGGAGGCAGCCAAAAGAGTCAGACTGAGAGTCGACTCACTGAAAAGAGCTGGAGTGCCCATCGCTAGCAGGCAGAGTGTTGTGGCGTGCACTTTTGGTTAGCAGCTCTATTTACCTTGTAGACGTTTTCTGTCATTTTGTTGACCTCGTCAGATCGTGACATTGTGCTCCTCTTGGTTTCCGACCAGCCTCCGTCCCTCAGAATACAGCTCTAAATTAGGATGATACCACACACACCTGCATAGAGAGGGAGAGACAGAGGGAGTGAGCATGTCATCAGTAGTTTATTTTACACCTTACACACAGTAAATCATTACTGTCGGAACAAAATCTCCAAAACAGTAACTTTACAGGAGAACGTAAAAACATTTTTAACTTCTAATGAAATTTAATGTAACAAGATATTTTTCAATGTAATTTTCATCATGAAATTGTAACACTATGCAAAGGGTAACTAGAGTTTTCAAATTATGTAAAAAATGTTTAAAACAGCAGAAATGGAGATACAAAGTTTTTTCTCCCAAGTACTTTAGAATGTTTCTTACAGACTGGATGATAATATATTACAAGTGTAAGACGTATGAATATTTTGATTGTAGTTACGTTCTTCACTTCTAATTAATAACTTTTATAAAAATTACAAGAACCATGCCAACAGATTCATAAAGACAGCAGGTTTGTTATAATTCCTTATTGGTATTTTAATTTAACCTATTTTAATCCAGACTTTAATGCAGGTTTTATCAGGATTGTCATGGTTTACTGTGGTACATGGCCATCTAAGGCAGCTTACAGTAGGAATTGGCTGAATAGTATAGAATACCATTAAATTTTAACTTAATAATCTTCGTTTGGTGATTCTTGAGTCAGTTATGCACAGCAATTTCTGTATATCAATTAGCTGGAAAGAAAGACCATTTTGTGAGAAACATGTTTATTTCAATGTCTCATGATTCCTTGGCTCAGGTTTAGAGGTCAATATAAGACTGCGCTACAGTGTGTCTTGAATCCGTCACATCAAGTTAAGAGCGTCATAGTTCCATGGAGGAAAACAGTGTGTCTGAAGATTCGGGCAAGTGTCAGAGTGCTGAACAAACAAGCATGTGCTTTGCAGAGCTTCCCCTTGGACAGAACGGCTGAGGCTGGCAGGCATGGAGAGGAATTCCAGTCCGGATTACTCTTTCAGACACAACCCCACCTCCACCCCCTTCAAACCGCTCCCTCATACTGCTGTTATTGCTGGGAGATTAGGAGGAAAACTTTAACCCATATCAAGTGATAGAGCGCGACACAAAGAAAACATTCTCACCACTCTGATCTCTCTCTCTTTGTCCCTGTGCTTCTGTCACCTTCCATCACTTGTCATGTGACACTTTCATCTCTCATCATGTCTCTCCCTTTTCCCCTCATTCTCACTCCCTGTCTTATCCTGTCTTGACTCAGAGAATTAATTGCACTTCATCCTTTTTCTCATAGTTAAAGGCTTGGTCACATCTGATTGAGATACCTGTTTTATTGTTGTTGTTTTTAACACAACTTTGTTTTTATACAATTTTAGAGACATTTTAATATAAAGGCTTATGCTTAAATGATGAAGATCATATAGGGATGCATTTTCAAACCAAATATTTTTAATGCATATAGATTTTTTAAATGGCCACAGACATGGAATTTTCAGCAGCCACTGGTCAGCATATGTGCAACTTCTTAAAGACTGCTGGAAAAGCATCTCAGGTGAAAATGCCAAGAGTGTGTAAAGCTGCATCAGGAATCTTTGAAGAATCCAAAATAAAAGATCATTTTGATTTGTCTAACACTTTTTTGCTCACTGCATAATTAATTTAGTAATTATTTTTGTTTTGATGTCTTCACTGTTATTCTAAAATGTGGGAAATAGCAAAAAAAAGACAAAGCCTTAATGGGTAGTTGTTTAGTTTTACAGTGCAAAAAATTTGCTGTTTGCAAATCAATCAGCGGTCAGTGACCAAATCATCAGATTTCAGAAGTCCATGTCCAGAGATTTCAGTTTCTGGTTATGAATGAGAGGAAGTGTACACTCTGCCACCGCCAGTTTGAGCCCAATCCTGCCTTTTTTTAGGCGCACAATTTTGAGTATTTTTTGGCTCTGTATTCCCCCATACTTGATTTGAAATAAAACAATGACTATGATGGTTAAAGTGCAAGATGTCAGCTTTAATGTAAGAGAATGTACTTCTATATAACTACAGGACATTTTGCTGCTTTGATGTGTGTTGCTGTGTCATTAGTTCATGCACAAGAGCTAACAAGCTCTAGAGATGATTATAGATGTGGCATTTACACCTGGAGTCCGTCAAGTCTTAATGTCAGAAAAGCACACCATCATTAGGCCAAATCAATCCAACCAAATGCCTCAGAACTCAGTGGACGACTCTTATCTTGCAGCAGGATAACGACCCAAACCACAAAATGGAAAGGGGTATTCATGAGTGGCCAAGTCAGTCACGCTACTTGAACCTCATTTACCTTACTTTAGATGCCCTGAAATGAGGGGATGTGTATAAAAACCACTGTGATTCCTCCAAATTAAAACTGACATTCTGTACGTTATAATGTGCTGCGTTACAGAGCAAATAAAAAAAATATTTTCATGTATATATGCACCTATTTTTGATTTCATTAATTGAAATATGACATCATAGTACCACTCTACAATAAAATTACCTCATTAAGAGTTTAAGAATTATTTAAAAGTGAGAAACACCTTAAAAATCATTAATAATCAGCTATAACAACTAATTAAAAAGGGCAAGATTGACCTGTTGTATCTAATAAATATGAATATCTGATGAATCTGATAGGTTTAATGTTGACTGATGAAGGCACAGTAAGATCAGTAACCTGCAACATCTAAGGCTGAACAGTACAGATAAATGTTGCAAGCAACAGGTCACAGTTGCCATTTTCATTTATGTTATTACTGCTTAATGATTTTTAAGGGAGTTATTAATAACCATAAACTAATAATAATAATTAAACTAATTTTAAACCATTCATAAACTCTTTGTAAGAGTTCTCTTATGGTAAAGTGGTATAGACATGACAAATGAAAGCCCTTCCTATAGACAGCGTGTTTATGTTCAAAATGTCTGCATATAAACCAGCAGTTATGATTTGCTTCAGATTTCTATTCTTTTTCCTCATCAATTTACAGCAGTCAGAGCATTTTCATGGAACCTGTACTTAATTAGACAGATAGCGGCTGTTGTTCTTTAAGAGGTTTAGAAGTTAGGACACTGGGTTCTGATGAGCTATTCCCTTCAACCTGGGACAAATGAATGGCTGGAAATAACAATATTTATTCAAATAAACCAACTATTTGGGATGGTAATAGGTGTTTTAGTATGTATAATGCCTCAATCTAAGTAAGTGCTCCAGGGCCTGCAGCAACCATCCACACAGCAATTTGAAGATTATGTGCTTTAAAATCAAAATCCAGCAATGTTTTTGATATATCTATATAGACATGCATGTATACTCAATATATTTAGATACACACAAAGTTATATATTTGTACATATGTATTCTGAGGGGGATTTAAATTGTTCCAGTTTAAGGATAACCCAGGCCTTTGCACTATGTATTTTGCTTTAGGTCATGTCTATGTCAGACTACAGAGCTGGCAAATCAAGTTCCTTCTATTTCAATAAAAAACACCTGTTGATCTAAAAGAAATGACTTGGTTCTAGGAGTGTGTGAAGTGTGTGTATAGAGCTTTACCTTCTCTGTGCTCATCAGAGGCCTCCTTGCAGGATCTTCTAAGTGCTGTTTTTGCAAACTCTTTGTGAAAAAGGTTACGGTTTCTCTTCCTCGGTCGCTCCACTTTGCCCCACTGTTGCTTTTAGCCTCCGATTGTGGGGGGTAGTAAAAACCCGGCACTGTGCTAAATCTCCCCCTCTCCCCCTCTGAATGCCCCCTGTCTCCCCCCCAGCCTCACTCTCACGAATCGAGGTCAGAGATGTGGTGCAGTTGAACACTGCGGCTCATTGCTCACCACATTCACCTCACTGCCCTGCTCATTAAAAGCAAAAAAAATAAAGTGGCAATGAAATGGTGAATTCTTCTCACTTTCCAGATTTACACAGCGTAGACTTCCTCTGGGCTTTAGGCTAGTACCCAACTTGCACTCTCCCTCTCTCTCAGACAATGTCTTCCCTCTCTCTCACTTTCTCTCCATCCCTCCCTCTCTCACTCTCTCTCTCTCCCTCACTCGGAATGAATAACAATGAGGTAACGGGACTGGGCTCTGAATAGCACTGAGGCGGAGAAGAATGACTAAAGGACTCTACACCACAGCCACAGGCCGCCACATCTACTACCAATCCTAGCTCAGAGTCTACTCTTAAAGGACAATTCCAATGTCTTTCTTAAAAAAAACTACACATTTTCTGCATTTTGCACTTTTTGAAAAGGAAAAAGATGTTGGTGTGGCTTTAATGGGAAACAGAGCAAGACAGCAAAATTGCTTTTGGAAATTGTAATATGCTGCTAATGCAGCAACGCAATATTCTCTAAGAGTTGTTCTATTATGCTTAAACCTAATAAAGAGTGGAATGCATACAGACTTATAACTTGCCTGGGACTGTTTGACTGCTTCAAGATTGTTTGAATGCTGTGGGTAGTAATACACCGATCAGGCATAACATTATGACCAACTAAGACCTTGTTTCTGTGCTCATTGTCCATTTTATCAGCTCCTCTTGCTATATAGGTGGACTTTGTAGTTCTACAATTACAGACTGCAGTCCATCTGTTTCTCTGCATACTTTGTTAGCCCCTTTTACCCTGTTGTTCAGTGGTCAGGACCCCTTTGGACCCTCACAGAGCAGGTACTATTTGGGTGGTGGATCATTCTCAGCACTGCAGTAACACTGACATGGTGGTGGTGTGTTAGTGTGTGTTGTGCTGGTCTGAGTGGATCAGACACAATGAGCATAGAAACAAGGTCATAGTACTATTCCTGATTGGTGTATGTTAAAGTACACCATCACACAATGACATAGTTGATCACACTTTGACATTGTCACTATTTTTCGTCTGTGTAACTATATAAGTTTATATAAACAACTTGGAAGATAAATGTTAACTTTTCACAGGAGATACAGATTAGTAATAGATTAGTAAGCTCACAGAATTAGATGACTGTCAACAACTTATTAAGGAACAATGCAAGGTTGGCCAGTGTTAGCTCTCCTGACTGACTAAACTGACAAGGAGTCAAGTGAAGTTAACATCGCTAGGCCATGTTAAAATTACATGAGCTCATTGTCTATTAGTTAATTATCTGTGTAAATAATCATATATGTATGGATATTATTTCTAAAAATAACAACATGAAGAACTGAACTATTTTCCTCACTTGCTAAAACCTTTTTTTGAAATTAGAATATGATGCAATTGTATATTTGAACTTCATATTACTAGTGCTGTCCAGCATTGATAAGATTCAAACAATAATGATTCACTAAATGTTTAAAAGTGTCCAGACACCCCTTCTAAGTTTTGAATTCACCTACTAATAAAGGATTATCTCTTTAAGGTGCAACCATTACTGATACAACTTGGGTAATCCTACACAATTCTATTAAAAAAAGCACCGTCAGTAGTGTGGAACTGCTCATGAGCCTAAACTCACCAGGTAGATAAGATAAGATAAGATAAGATAAGATAATCCTTTATTAATCCCACAATGGGGAAATTTGCGGTGTTACAGCAGCACAGAAGACAGAGCAGCAGGAAATATACAAACAATATATAAAATAGAATAAACAATAAAAGTATAAAGATATATATGTATATGTACAAAGATTACAAGAAAAATATACAAAGTATTAAATTTAAATTTAGAAATGTAGAAATGTATGTATTGTAGTGAGTATTGCACAGTGAATAAAATAGCAAATAAATAAACAGTAAATAAATGGAGAAATATTGCACTTGACATGATTGCACATAATGGTGGTAAACATGTTGACAATGTTTGTCAACATGTTATGTTAGAGTGCAGTTTGTAATCCAAAACTAATCCAGCATCAGTACTTGACCTCAATAATGCTTTTGTGGCTGAATACAATCAAATCCCCACAGCAAAGTTTCAACATACAGGCTTCCCAGAAAAGTAGAGGCTGTTACTGCAGCACAGGGGTGAAAAACTCCCTATTAATACCTTTGATTTCAGAAGAAACATTGGATGAGCAGAAGTACAAACATTTGGACGTATAGCATACTGTCCAAATTACTTTGATTATATTTAGATTAACATTAATAAAGTTAATGACGCCATGCTTTCTAGGTGCCATTATCTACTGCAAAAAAAGGTCTTACAAAGCAGATATAGCTTGTTATAACTGACCAGTTTTGTTCTGTTTTCGTCTTTCAAAATCACACCCCTGAGAACTTTATACAGTGTATTTTTGACTGGCATGGCAACAAAGATGAAATATCACCAGCACTCCATCTTAACATGATCAGCTAACCCACTTCTCTGGCTATTATATCAAGACATCAGTTTAATGTTTAAAAGAATTTTAAAAATGTGATCCTGATAGGTCCCTTGTATCACACTTCACAGGCATAAATGATGCCTTTGAGATAAATTAAATTATGCTTTTATGCTAGCATTTATTGCACTGTATCTTACTTTATTTTGCATTAAAAAGACAAAAAAACATGAAAGTATTAGGGCTAGGTACCAAAATTCAATACATATATGGTACCTTCAAAATTACTTTAATACTACACTAATACTTTTAGTGCTGAAAAATTCTCTATCATTCAATACTGAATTCCAATACCTAAACAGTCATGCATGTTCCTCAAGTATCTTCAAAATGGTATCTTTACGGGAAAGAGCATGTACTACTACTTTTAATGTAAGTAAATGTTTTAATACAATGTAAAAAGCAGCTGTTGTGCCCAAATGGTGTAGAAAAAATAAAAATGAGCACATTCCTTTCAGCACTTCTTAGATATTCTGCATCTGTTGTGGTCTATATACCTACTTCCATGCTCAGTTTCAGTTTGCAATTTAAAAGGAGGTATTGAAAAAAGTACTGGAATTTTTTAATGACACCCACCCTCAAAAAGTGTAAATAAAATATGTTTATTTTTTTGTTGTTTTGGAGAAAAATGCTGGTATTTGCTTTAAATGACTCTTTCTGCTGTTTAAATCCACCATATGCAGATGTGCTTCATTCACAGTTGGAGACAAATTGATCAGGCAAATATGACTGTAAAGCATGTGATAATGTCCATTACAGCCTTAAGAGAAAATTAAAGCCTAACATTTGTTGCATCCAGAGAGAGGTGGATGTTGGATGATTCAGAGGTAGTTTTAAGTTACTGGACAGCATTCAGGCCAGAAGATACACACAAAGGAAGCCCCAGACTGATTGTAATGAAAAGTAACAGCCTCTGTAAACACAAAACAGACAAAAAGAGCATGGTACAAAAGAAGTAATAAAATCTGGTTTTACCTTTTCCTCACAAGTTTACCTCTTTCTCTCATTTCCTTTTTACTAATAATAGATGACTTAATGAGTTCTCCTTTATTTATCCTAAATATGTGAACTTTGACCTCTCCACCCACAAGGTCTCAGCTCTTTCTATGAGCAGACAGAAGCAAAGAGATCAAGAGGTCAACATTGTCATTCACTAACATTCTTTCCATTAGTGACTGACCCTGTGCTGGCAGACCAAACTAAATACAAGCCAGACTTCAGGTGTTTAGTTTAGTTTTTAGTAATTTCACAGAAGCCTATGAATTACTTATCTGTGCTAAGTATAAGAATCACTCAAGCGAGACACCACTTCTTCAAAATCTGTATTTAGTTAAATAAGTTTAAACTTGGGTAAAAATTTTTAGGATCACGTTTGGATCACTGTTTGATGTACTATCGTCTGAGATGGGCAAAAATTACTCCAGATCTGAATTTGCATTATGGAATTTCACACCAGCATAGACTAAAGATTTCAGTTGGTATGCTGCTTTGTGCTGAGGACACCAGAGTCATTCTTCTCAAAGTGTTTTTACATCATGGGCAGGAATCATTTAAAGTGTGTAGTGTTTAGACTGTCTGTCATAATTAGCCACACAGTACCTCAGTCAAAGAGTTTACAGTAACACCCCCTTCAGGATGTGGATGGGAATTACAGCACCATTTCTTAGCAAATTTCTAGGTCAGTATTTTAACCTGTACCCTCTTGCAACCACCACTAGAGGTGGTTGCTCACTCCAGTGGTTTATACCTTCACCAGCCACTCTATTAATACTACCACTACTAATTCTAATGGTACTAATAATAATACCACTACTACTAATAATAATCTTTATTTATAGAGCACTTTTCATGCAGGTGGCAACTTAAAGTGCTTTACTGACAGGTGATAAGGCTTAACAGTAATACAAGAAATTATGAGTAGTTTAAAATCATATAAGAAAATGACAAATGATGGATCAAATTAAATTAGAAATACCACAAAAGGTACAGTTTTAACTAAACACCAAGTTAAAGCAATATGTTTTTCAGTGTTTCTTAAAAGTGTGTACTGAGCTTGACTGTCTAATAAAAGGTAGAATTGAGTTCCACAGTTTAGAAGCATAATAACTGAAAAAGGCCTCTCCATGTTTTCTGAATTTTTGGAAGGTATCTGCAGATCTAAAATCACGTGCTGGAACACAAACAGGAAAGACATTCTGTGATGTAAGCAGGTGCTTTGAGGTCATTTAGACCATTAAAACTATTAGCAGAACTTTAAAACCCATCCTGAGGTGGCCAGTGCGGTTCTTTTAAAATATGAGTAATATGAGCTTTCTTTTTTGTTTTTGTTAGGAATCGTGCTGCTGCTTTTTTTATTAAGAACACCTTTCTAATACTGGACAGGACCCTCCCCCTCTGCTCTCAGAAGAGCCTGAATGCTTCATGGCATGGATTCAACAAGTTGCTAGAAACGTTCCTTAGAAATTCTGTACCATGTTGACATGATTGCATCACGTATTGCTACAGATTTCTGCCAATCTCCCATCTTACCACATCTCAAAGGTGCTCTGTTGAATTCAGATCTGGTGACTGGTGAGGCCATTAAAGTACTCTGAACTGGAACCAGTTTGATGTGACTTGTTCTTTGCTACAAGGTGCATTATCATTCTGGAAGTATCCATTAGAAG